GTATGGCTACCATATTACCAAGGCTTCGTATTTTATCTGCCATGATCAAGGCACCATTAAAAAATTATTTGAAAACCTTAGAAATTATGATGGGAAGGACACTTACCCAAAAACGTGTGGCAGGTTTGAAATTTCTGGAATTAGGGACCTTACAACTGGCTATGATGATACCCAGCCTGACAAAAAAGCTGTTCTCCCAACTAGTAAAAGCAGCCAGATGATCACTTTTACCTTTGCTAACGGAGGCGTGGCCACCATGCGGACCAGTGGAACAGAACCCAAAATCAAGTACTACGCGGAACTGTGTGCTCCGCCTGGAAACAGCGATCCTGAGCAGCTGAAGGAGGAGCTGAATGAACTAGTCAGTGCTCTTGAAGAACATTTTTTCCAGCCACAGAAATATAACCTGCAGCCAAAAGGGGAGTAAAACATTCCACCCACGGACGAACAGAAATACACCTAAAATTAAGCTGAACTGGATTTGTGAAGCAATGCTTTTAAAGGCTGGTTATTTAAAAGTATTATTCCGTGTATTTATGTATTTTTTTAAAATAAACTTAACATTCCTCATATTAAAAAAAAAATAAAATGTAAAATTACAAAAGAGCACTTGGCTACATTTTTCATAGTAGACACATGAAGGAATTTTTTAATTTGATATTTAGTTAGATTGTTACAGAAACATGGTTTTGCTTGGTTTTCTTTTTTGCCTGCAGTCATTAAGTTTACCAGGGAATTCTGGTGGGCTTGTGGTAAGAAGCTGTGTTTCAATCCCAAAGCCACGCAGTTCAAATATGCTCTGTGGAAGGAGGATGGGCTCTCTCCCCTCCAGGTGATTAACTATCTCGGTAAGCCTGCCATAGGGTCAGCAATCTATTGGTTTGAACATGATGGTACGTAACAACCTGGAGTTGATTCCTAGTGTACCTCTGTCAGGTTTCTGAAATGTAAATAATAGCAGGAAGACACTGCCTGTCTTTCTTCCCACAACCTTCAGTGTATTCAGACTGCCAGGACCTTTATTTAGGTCATCAGCAGAAGTCGTTACTGACTACACAAGCAGAGCTCCCCAATGAAATAATTGGAATTTTGAGAATAATGTATATAATAAAAAATAGAACTTCAAGCAGGAGTTTATTTTTTTGCTTTGAAATTATTATAGAAATTTCTCAGTGCAAATTGACTTTCTATTTTTCCATAACAAATGATTGCTGTTCTTTGAACTGACACAATTTACATTTTTGTTTGTTTGTTTATTTCAAAAAGAATCTGAGAACTAAATGCTTTTCGGTTGAGGGGTTTTGGGCTCTCTAATGGCATAGTTGCACTGCCTCCCAGAGGCTGCACTTCTCCAGAGTTTAGAATCCACTAGCTTTGAGGGAGAAAAATGGGCAGTCTCTTCACCTCAAGCCATTTACAGCCTCAGCAGCCCCCTGAAGGGTCAGCTATAAGTTGGCTCCTTTTCTATGTCAATAGAGAGTGAGAGTTTTATTTATAAGCTAATTAGTCTTAACAATTTTCAGTCTTACTAATTCTCAGAACTTGGAAATATTGTCTGAGCTTAAATTTAATGGTAAAAAATGAATTCTTATTTTTTATTCCTTTTCTGTTTTGTTTTAGGAAGAATCCACAACACAAGGTGGATTATAAACATAGTACACATCCAGGTAAGAAGTTTTACTTCAAGGAACAAAAATGACGTTTATAGGATGACTCTCACCTTACAAAAGATAAATATCTACACACACACACATGCACGCGCGTACACACACACACACATACACACATACACACACACACACACACATATTTGCCCTGTGAACAGATTTGAACCCTGTCCTATCCTGTGCCATCATCACATTTCTTGACACACTAGAGCCCAGTCACTGTGTCAGTCTGTCTAGTTGAGGATCTTCCTCTCTTAGCTACCCTCCACCTTTCCAAGCATGATTTCTCTCTCCACAGAATAGCCTCTCCTAGCGGCATGACTGAAATGAGATGAAGTTAATAGAATTTCAGAGGCCTGCTATTTAAGAAATAGATGAGCTTCCTGCTTCCTGTTACTGGGTACCAGCAAGTCAGAACTGACCTGTAGCTGACCTTCCAGCAGATTTTCAGAAGCAGTTAATTGCATGGGAGAAGACTGCCCATCCTTTTCCTGTTGAAGTAGCTGGTGGCCTCGAACCTGTGTACCTTCAGGATTGCAGTGCAGCGTCTTGCCCGTGGGCCAGCAGAGCTCCCTAGTCTTAATCTGGGAGGGCTAACACCTGTCCACCATGGGTGACCCTTGTGACGTATGACACACCGGTTGCATAGCTTTCAGCATCCCAGCAACCAGCAAGTTATCTCAGTACAACAAACTGACAGGCAAATGCTATACTAATTAGAACAGTGAATTCCTCAAATAAAGACAATTTAGTGTTGTGCCTGTAATAGCAAATCAGGGATCCAAATATTATGTTACCTGATCCAGTTGAAGTCTGAATAGATGAGGGAGGATATGCTTCTGGGAGGACATTGAGGCATTCTAGTTGAGACTAACAGCTGCCACACAGGAGTAACGACCCACATGTGGATATTAAGGTCAGTGGAAATCTCTGGTGAAACCTTGCTGCTAGTGCTGCTTTACACCAACTGTTTGATAAAGAAGACATGCCTTCCAGGTCCCACCTGCTTTAAATAAGAGGCTTCCTGCCCCAACTGACTGTTGTTAAAAAATTCTATAGCTATAAACTTATTTATAAATAAATATTTTACTTTATATTCATAATAATTTAAATTTTATAAATGTTAATATGTAAGTATATTTATAGAAAGTAGAGGGTATCCAGTTATTGTAACATTTTCAAATCTGTACATTTCTTAATAGTTTTGCTTTAATAGTTTAATAGTTTTTAAAAAGTATAAGCTTTACACATAGAAATTATTTTCACAATCATTGTCTAAAAAAATCATAATTCTTCTGTATTTTTTAGGATTATTTGTTTACACATATTTGGAAACAGAATCTCAAACTAACCTTAGTTTTAGTGGTAAGAGATGTTGACTCCTATAATTCTGTTGTTGTTATGGGCTGTCGAGTTGCTTGCAACTCATAGTGACCGTATGTACAACAGCTCAGAACTCTCCTCTGTCCTGAGCTAACCTTATTGTCTCTGACATACTCGCCCTCATTACCTTAGTCACTGAATCAATCCAGAGAGTCTTCATCTCTTGCACTGCCCCTCCACCCTCCCAAGAATGATGTCCCACTCCAAGGACTGGTCACTCCTTGCAACATACCCAAAGTATAGAATTATAACTCATCTAAATATATTAAAGAAATGCGATTAGAATGGCCCTGGGAATTAAGGATGGTGGGACTTTGTCTGACAGATATTGGGGTGTGTTATCATCAGAAGCCAATTCTTAGAGAAGGATGTCATATTTGGAACAGTAAAGAAAAGCAAGGGTAAAGATTTTCTATAGATGGATTGATCTGGGACTATGAAAATGAGCACAACTTGTAAAGATGGCACAGGATGGGCAGTGTCTCTTTCTGTTGTATGTGGTGATGTGGTTGGATGTGGTTGATGGGGCTAACTCCAGGACACTAACAACAACATAAAAAATGTTTAGGGATCACAAATAAAGGGGCCTCCCATTCCCTAGGACAGATGAAATAAAAACTGTTGTTCCTTTATTTGATGTTTAAAAGCCACTGAGTTAAAAAAATGTTTAGAGGTAGGGCTCTAGTAAAGAAGATCCATTGCTTTGGTTCAAGAATATTACCATTATCAAGGATCCATTTCCTCTCTGTCATTCTGTCTTGGGGGTTATTCTCATGCTAAGCTGACTCTCCTTCCAGATGTGGGTAATGTGTGCTGCTGACCCAGAGGTGGTGCCCCTGAGGGTGGGGCCACTGTTGTTCTTGCTTACCATCGAGTCAAGCACAACTCATGGCAACCCTATGAACAAAAGGCCTGAACTATCAGCATTTCATAGAGTTTCCAAAGGCATGGTGTTTGGGAAGTGGATGCCACTCCTGGTTCCAAGTAAAGAGAGTAAAAACGGGATTGGATACAAGATTTTTTAAAGAAAGTATCACTAACATTCTTAACTAGCTAGAGAGGTTAAAAGAACTAAGAATGAGATAAACCAACTAGGGATGACTCATAATTTTAATATACATTATTAAGAGTCTGGAGTACATTTTCATGTAATAGAAGAACTGAGTAGTTTTTCTGGCATTTTTTGTTTTTAAACGTGTTTGAAAGGTGGAGGTGATATTGCTATATATCACCATATACTTTGTTGTTGTTGTGTGCTATTAAGTTGAAACCAACTTAAAGCTGACCCTCCAATGGGTTTTCAGAGGCTAGTAAATCACAGTGGAGGAGATTGCCCATCCTTTTATCACAGAGCAACTGATGGATTTGAATCACATGCCTTTGGGATTGCAGTGCATCTTCCTGTCACTCAACCACAAAAGTTCTCAAATATAGTACCAACATAAGAATAATTAGAAATTAAGCTTTTTCTTAATTGTTTAATTTCTTATTTGGAATATTTCCTGAACATTTCAGTCTATAAAATTCTCTGTACATGCTAACAGCTTATATAGTGTATTTCATTTTACTTTTTGAGTTTCTTTGCTGTCACACTTGAGCCTCTTGCATATATAATTGGGTTGTTGTTGTTGTTATGTGCCATCAAGTCACCTGTGATTCATAGCGACCATATGTCTAGCAGCTCTGAAGCCTGCTCTGTCCTAGCCCAGTCTCACTGACCCCAGCACACCTGCCCCCATTGCCCTAGTTTTTGTGTCAGTCCATCTTATCCAGGGTCTTCCTCTCCTGCGCTGTCCCTCCATCCTTCCAAGCATGATGCCCTTCTACAAGGATCGGTCCCTCCTGGCCACATGCCCAAAGTATGTGAGACAGCTTCAAAATCCTAGCTTCCAGGGAGAAACTTGGTTTCACCCTCTCTAAAACAGACCTGTTTGTTTTCTTGACAGTCCATGTTATGTTCCAGACTCTTCTCCAGCACCACAACTCAAAGACCAATACTTCTGTCATCCTTATTTATTGTTTAAGTAGTTATAAAGACCATAATTACCTGGATCAGGCACACCTTAGTCTCTAAACTTGTATCATTGCCCTTTAGCACTTTGGAGAGGTCCCTGAGAGCAGATTTTCCCAGTGCAGTTTGTGTTCGGATTTCCTTACTCTCTTCAGTTGCACAGTCATTGAAGTTACTAGGCCAGAATTTTTATCTAATTAAAATTTGCTTATCAGTTAAGACTAAAATCTACTGAAAAGGAACAGAAATGTAACAGATTGTCAGTGCTAAACTACTAATGAGCTCTGAGGCAGATACACATACAAGAAAGATCTGTAATACCATTATAATTCAAATACATGCACCAACAACCAGAGCCAAAGAGGAGGAAATAGAAGATTTCTAATAACTTTTGCAGGCAGAAACTGATCAAAACTGCAACCAGGATGCATTAATGATAATAGGTGACTAGAATGCAAAAGTTGGGAATAGGGAAGATGGGTGGATGGATGGATCATGATTTGGTGACAGAAATGATGCTGGTGATAGAATTTTGTACCATCAGTAGTTTATTAATTGCAAATGCCTTTTAGAAGAAACACAAATGGGCACCAAAGCAACATGGACAAGAGCAAGCAAGATGGATGGAATTTGAGTGAGAACTCTTATTAAAATATTTGTTGTTGTTGTTGTTATGTGCCCTCGAGTCGTTTCCAACTCATAGCGACCCTATGCAAAACAGCCCTAAACCCTGCTCTATCCTGCGCCAAC